GGGTTTTACGGTTTTAGGGTTTTAGGGGCTTAGACTTTTTTAGGGCTGTAGGGATTTAGAGTTCTAGGGTTCTAGGGTTTGAGGGTTCTAGGGTTCCAGGCGTTCTAGGGTTCTAGGGGGTTTAGGGTTCGGGTTTTAGGGCTTGAGGTTTCCTTCGTTCGCTCTGTCCGGATTTCTTTGTTCATTTGTTTTTGTTACTTGCCTCTGCAGTTCTGTAGTTCTTTCTTGCATTCCTTGTGTGTCTCTGTCGTTTTGTCCTTGTATTCCTGTAGTATGTTTTTTGTTCGTGACTTCTGCCTTTCTGTACCTTCTTTCTTTGTTTATTTATCTTTTTTCCCCTCCTCTCTCTTTCTCTCTCGCTCTCTTCTCTTGCAATGCAACCGGACTCGCGCCCGTATCTCATTCCACAGCCTCGGCTCGCCCAACGCTTGGTCAGCCACCTTCACACCCAGAATCCCATAGACCCTGTAAACCCTAAACCCTACATCAACCCTAAACGCTAAACCCTAAACCCTAAACCCTAAACCCTATATCAACCCTAAACCCTTGTAGTTACTGGAAGACACAAGCTGTATTCACCCGTTCGCCGTGGCTCAAGAAAATGATTGTTCAGGGCTATCCGCTGGTAACAATAGGTTATCAGCCGTAGCACTCTGTTAGACCAACTCTGCAATGTCGGATTCTGCTCCGCTTAATCCTGCAGGTATACCTATCCCGGAAGACGGAGCTAGTAGCCTGAGTATGTCCTTTGATGGTAATGCTCCAGGTGACGAGGCTCCTCCCCGGGACAGTGAACCTCCTTTGACCACCAATGCCCTGAGGATACATGACATGCGTCTCTTCCAGAGAGGTGCGGTTTCGGAAGCTGCTGCCCCCACAGGAGCACCTAGTAGCCTCAGTACCACCACACCTTGGCAGGTCGTGTCTCCTCATGAAAGACAAGCTTCAGCTCCAAATGTAGCTGAAAGAGGTTCACTTCAGACCTTTAATCCGACAGCACCGAGTTTCTCTATGCCGAACTCCGCGACGATGAACAGCTTAATGATTGGCGAACAAAGACTCATGCAGAACCAAGCTAACGTAAGCCAGACGTTCATTCAGAATGATAGATCACCTCTGATTGAACAGATTGCTGAGCATCGCCATAACCAGATCCTTGGTCAGATCACGAACAGTTTTCAGGAGCAGATGCTATCTATGGGTAGCCATGTCATGTCCGGAGTGTCGAAACTAAGAGTTGAACTTGCTCAGGCCGAAACAAGGCTTGGAGAAGAGGAACAGCAAGCCAGAGCCAGATTCTCAACAGGCCAAACTCAATTGGAATCGCAGGCCCTTGAGATAAACATGGCTCGCGGTGAAGCTCATGCCTTGGCTGAAAAATTGAGATCTGCAGAATCGCACGCAGATTTGTCATATGCTAGGCTCCAGGAGCAACTCCACCTAGCGGAAGCTAAGGCCATGAGCAATGCTGATCTCATGAACTCTGAGCTTGACAGTGTACGCGTTTCTGCTGCCCAGGCAACAAATGCAGTGCAGGCTTCATCTGAGGTTGAGATCAATCGCCTCTCTGCTGAGGTCCGAGACTTCAGAGTAGTCGTTAGTCAGGAGTCCGAGAAGCGGAAAGCAGCTGAGAGAGAGAACGCTGAGCTCAAATTGCAGCTCAGCAAGGCAATTGCCGCTCTTGAGGCTCATGCCAACGCCTCGAGCTCTGTGCCCACTGTGCCCCCGGGACTTGTTCCGACGATTCCTATCAACACGCCTCCGCAGGATGGCATGGGACCAAGGTTCCGACGCCCCCCTGACGGTGGTGGCCCAGATGATGGGGATGACGGCGGCAGTGATGATGATGACTCCAGTAGCCATCACAAGAAGAAAAAGAGCAAGAAGAAAGACAAAAAGAAGAAGAAGAAGAGGGATTCCAGTAGTTCCTCGTCATCTGACTCAGGATTATCTCCCAAGCAGCTCAAGGCTCTGCTCAAATCCCTGGCCAGGAGTAGCAAGAAGTCGGGGGATGACAAGGATACTGAGGATGAAGGTAGCAAGAACAAGTCCAAAGAAGCCGAAAAGATCGTCTTTCCTAAGTTTCCTACACCCGAGCAGTATCGCAATTGGCGGATTAGGGTTCGCGAAGCAGTCGTTGCTGCCTCCAACAAGCCAGACAAAGCCTTTGAATGGCTTGCTAACGTTTGGGATAAGGATGCTAAGGAGAGCGATCTCATTAACACTGACGGCTTCACCACGCTTGATGCAAAGATCTTGTCGGCGATCACCAATGTTCTGGAAGGCGATTTTGCACGCCAGATGGACACCCTCAAAGAGAGGGAGGCTCACGCCGGAAGGCTTGTGAGAGGTAGGCAGATCCTGTTTCTCTTGCACAAGTACTTTGCTACCAATGCTTTGCACAATTCTGTTTATGATATGGAAGACTTGTTGTCAGTCACCATGACTAACGAGAATTTGGTGACATTCATCAGGAACTGGGATACTGTTCTTTCAGGGATTCAGAAAACACCTGAAGACACAGTCCTTGAACCTCTCTTCCATAGACAGATCAAAAAGTGCCGAGCCCTTCAGCACGACATCAATGTCTACGAAAGAGCCGCAGAAGGAACCGCTGAGAGGTCCTTCAAATTTCTGTATGATGCTGCCACTGCGCACATCAATCGCAAAAGACTTGAGAGAAATCGTGAGCGCATAGCAAGACAGTCAGGCGCCCCTCAGGTGCCTGCCATGCCAGCACCCCAGAAGGTGCCCAAAGGTTTCTGCATTGCCTTCGTCAAGAATGGTAGTTGCAAAAACGGTGAAAAGTGTAAGTATAAGCACCAGGTGCCATCCGGGCGCCCTCGCACACCCACACCCGGCAGAGGCCGTGGTCCGCGCAGTCCCTCGAGGACAGGCTCTCCCAGTCGCGGTCCACGTGAGTGCAAATTCTTCAAGCAAGGTCGCTGTGACCGTGGAGACAAATGCACCTTCCTGCATACGGGAAAGCCAGGTGCTGCGGCTCCGTCCGGAGGCAGCGCGAAAGGCTCAGCGCACTCTGACAAGAGTAAGGGTAGGCACAAGAAGAAGAAGAAAGATCGCAAAGGCTCTAGGCCTAGCTCTAAGGATTCAAAGGGCAGTAAGAACTCCAAGGGTTCTAATGGCTCGCGGAAGTCTGGGGGCTCAGGTCGCAAGAAGGGCGGTGGTCATTCCATTCCTACTGCGGTTTGCCTTTTAGGAGCAATGATGGCAGGCACGGCTCACCATGCCGATGCTTACACTCTCCGGAAGGATGAGTCGTGTTGGCCCTCTCATTATTCCGAGTTTACACACCTGGCGCTTGCAGCGGTGTCATTCGATGACAGCCCTGACTATATCAACTTCCCTCTTAGAGATGGAGAATTGAAGTACTCTGTTGAATACCCCAAACGTACCTTCACAAGTAGCTGGTCTACTGAGGACGTTCCATCGGGCAACGCACAATCCACCAGGGATGCGCTCATGGCAGCAAGGATGCTACGCGCATCTGTGCGGAGCAGTCTCGATGGTGTGCCTGCAAAGTGCAACTTCTGTTGTGATACCGAGTTTGGTTGCGACCACTGCATTCCAAAGGGTCTAAGGGTTACGTGCCCCGCCAAACCAGATGCAGCGTTATGTTCTCATCCCATGGAATGGATAGGGGATACAGGGAGTGCTCAAGATCTCATCTCCGAGCGGGAGCTCGCGGATCTGGTTCCATTTGAATCAGACTGCCCAATCAACATCTCTACTGCGAATGGTCCGGGCTATGCCAACAGGCAATGCGAGGTGGGGGTTCCCTCCATCAATAGCGTTGCCAAGCCATATGTGTTGCCCAACACTCCGAGCGTTCTTTCGGTTGGTCAGAGATGCATGGAGCAAGGGTATGATTTCATTTGGAAAGGATTTCAGAGACCATACTTCAAAGTTCCTGGCAGTGGGAAGGTTTACCTTGATGTACGGGATAATGTTCCATACCTCAAATCATGGAAAGAAGGAACTGCGTGCCCTGCAAGAAGGATCGCCGCATCATCAGGCGGGAGCCGTACGGACCCCGAGATCGTGGCGAAAGAGCTTCTCCAGAATCAGGACTTTTCGCATCGGTCGTGCTTGAAATTACTCAAAGAATCAACTTTCAAACAGCCCAGGAGCCGTCGCAGTGCGATCCGCGTCAAAGATGACCGCGACTCAAAATATCTCGTGTTTGGAGCGTTTTCTCATGGGGGAATGCAAGGGATCACAAAACGATCCAAGTCCTACCCCAAAGTCATTCAGTATCTCCTGGGATATCTTAGGAAGCATGGCGTTGATGGGCCGGTGACGTCCTTAGCTGTGAATTGTAATTCCGATGTCAAGATGCACAAGGATGTGAACAATCATCGTGACCACGACAATTTCACAATCTCGCTTGGAGACTTCACAGGCGGGCAGTTGTGGGTTCATGATAACTGCATCGAGAAGAACCAACGTGACACTGAGGTGATGACCTCTCCTTCGGGAGATTCAATGGTAGGGAAGTTGTGGGATTCAAGAGAGAATGTTGTGACGTTCAATCCCAAATCCTATCATTGCGTCACTCCCTGGAAAGGTGAGAGGTGGAGCATCACGGCCTATGTCAACCGAGCTATCCATAAACTTAGCCCAGATGAGATTACCAAATTGAAAGAGTATGGGTTCCTTGTTCCGCGGAGGAGCGTTGAGGTTCCTGCTGCTCCTGTCGAGATTGATGAAGAGATGACACTACATGATCTAGCAATGATGGACTTGCCCAAGAGCTCTCCAGATCGTGCCAGAAAACCCGAAACCAAATCGAAGGGTAAGCCAACTAGCTCTCCTAAGGAGAAATCCGCATCCTCTAAGGCCAAACCCTCTCCTCCTGAACCGGACTGGTCTAGAGTTGAAGAGCAATTGCGTGAGGCGGTAGCACCCCTTCCACCTCCTGCTCATCCTCCCGAGTCCGTGCTATACAAGATAGACGAAGGAGGAAGCCTCGTACCTGCTGAACCGAGCGATTCGCCTCCTCATCCTGAAGGAGTGAGTGTTGCTCCAGGTGATGGAGCAGGTCGAGTGCCCGAAGGGGATGGCAAGAGATCGCGTGCTTTTGAAAAGCTGAAAGCCGAAGCAAAAAGCACCCATCACTTGATGTCCCATCAGCCAAAGAATCCATTCTGCGACGTATGCCAAAGGGCTAAGATGTACAAGCAGCCGTCCTATCAAACGGACGGGACGCACAGCATCGAAGCCAAGGCCTTTGGTGATCACCTGACTGCTGACCACATCATTGTTTATCGGGATAAGGGTGTCGCCATTGAAGAGTCGCGTTTGGCGTTGGTTATGAAGGACGTTTTCACCGGGTTCACTTATGCATATCCTTCTGCCCTTCGTTCAGAGGACGAGTGCATTGCCGCGTTGCAGCATTTTGTTTCCTCCTCTGACGAGGTGGGTGTGTTTTACAGTGACCAAGCGCAAGAGTTGATCTCCTCTGCGAAATTTCTTGGGTGGAGACATGAATTGTCGAAAGCCTATATTCATCAATCCAATGCCATTGCTGAAAGAGCCGTCCGTGCAACCACCGAAGGCACGAGAAGCAACCTGCTCCAAGCTGGGCTGTCCCATGTGTATTGGCCTCAGGCGTTGGAGCACTCCTGCGCAGCCTTCAATGTTAGCAACCTCAATGGGCCTAAGTATACACCTTGGTATAAACGCTTCGGGTACGCATTTCCGGGAAAGATCATTCCTTTTGGTTGTAGGGTCGATTACTGGGTTGGTCCCAAGAACAAACGCAGGAAGCGCGACAGGTTCGAACCAACTTCTGAGCCCGGAATTTTCCTTGGGTATTATTTTCAGCCTGGGATGAAGTGGCGAAATGAAATCCTTGCACTTCCACTCAAAGAATTAAATCGGCAGGATTTTCATGAATGCCTCAAACCCGTAAAGGCCTATCAGTTTCATGTTCCCAACGGAGAGTTTGTTTTTCCCATGCGTGAAAGGTACGAAAAGGTCCAGCAAGGTCTTGCTACTGATGCTTTAGAAGGCCCAGTGTCACAATCGCTGACGAACCAAGATGCCGAGCCTGCTCTTGAGCAGGACTCCGTTGACGCCGACCGGAAGGATGAACCCTCGTTGGTCATTGATCCAAAGAGTGGGAAAATGATTCCCATTCCGGAAGGGGGTGGTTACTACGACTCGGGGGGTACCCTGGGACGTAGATATGGCGGGACCAGAGGTTCCAGAAAGCCAGATAGTATTCCATCTGATCTTTGGGTTCGGTTGTCTAAGAAGCAGAAAGACAAAGCGATTGAAGACGAAGTCCGGGAGAATGCTCTCAGAGAACTCGAGTCTGGTGGTGGTGGTTCATCAGGCAGCAGCGGCAAGCCTGCCGCAGTGGCGAATGCTTCCAAGGATGAATGGGTCATCCGGGGGGACAAGTTGATCAGGTTCCATTACATTCCCAGAAAGGAGTTGTTTTCGCCTGACCTCACCGATTGCCCTGTTCCAATTGCCTCTCTCGGAAGGGATAGAGTCACCAAGATCATGCCGCTAGGCGGTACAGAGATTATCCCCGACGCAGATGAATGGCGCAACGTAAGGAGGCGTAATAAGAAGTTGTCATACAAATGGATTGGTAGAACCGAGTTTAGTGTAATTGCACGTCCCGATTCTTCTGGTCAAGCAACTGTTGGGTCCCAGGACTTCCCATGCATGCCTACTGTTCCAACTGCTGAAGATCCGCATAGAACCAAAGTTGCCCGCGCATTCCCTGAAACGTTTCAGGAAATCACTGAGGCCATTGCCATGGTTGCTAGGCCAGTGGGCAAAAAGGAACTCATGACGGATTCAGACGCTCAAGCGTCATTGGATATGGAATGGGATAAACTCATCAAGAAGAAGGCCTGGGATATGTCAACTGTCAGAGAGTGGGATGACGTGTCAAAAGAAGCTGCTAAGAAGGGTAAGAAAGCCCATGTAGGCAAGATCTTTGAAATCTGCGTTGAAAAAGGTAGCGAGCTTCCCAAAGGAAACCCCTTACGGAAGTTCAAGGGTCGAACCGTCTTTCAGGGTAATAATGTCAGAGATGAGAACAACGACACTGCTCTCTTTAGCGAGCTGGGCTCCAGTCCAGCTACCATGGAGGCAGGGAAGGTTCTCGACGCCTATGGCCATGCCCCAAACCATGGGGTAGAACAAGCAGATGGCAAACAGGCGTACACTCAGACAACCCTTAAAGGAGCAGACACTTGGGTACGCCTCCCGCGGGAGCGGTGGCCTAAAGAGTGGATAGGGAAATATAAAGATCCCGTTGTGCGTTTGAGGTTGGCCCTCTACGGGCACCCAGATAGCGGCGGCTTCTGGGAGCAACATTGCGAGAAACGACTCAAGGAGGTAGGATTTGAGCTTGTCTACCCAGCGGCGTGGCCCTCAGTATTCTTTCACCCGACACTTAGGCTCTTGTTAGCAGTGTACGTGGATGACTTCAAGATGGCCGGGCCTAAAGAGAACCTTGCCAAAGGCTGGGAACTCATTGGCTCCCGCATCGATATGGACACGCCTACCCCAATCGGAAGATATTTGGGTTGTGAGCACATCTCTCGCACTGAGAAGCAGAATGCTTCAGATCATCCCTTTGCTCATGTGTTCGACAAACATTTGCCTGATCCCGCAGCCAAGCCTGCAAGTGTGGTTGTTAAGGAGGATTTCACCGAGTACTTCCCGGAAGAAGGGGTCATCGTGCGGCACCATGTTCAGCCTCGCAAGGTCCCATTCAAACCTCGCGCGGCGGAAGCCCTCGCCCTCGACCTCGGGTCGCACAGGCTCACCGTGGCTGCTCCTCTAGGCAAAGAGGACTCGCCAACCGAGACGTGGGATTCGGGGGGCCCTGGACGGAAGTCTAGTGACTTTTGGACCGGTGTTACCTACCTTACCACTTCCAATCACACCGAGCACAGCGCCCTTGCAGCAGTTAAGCGCGTGAGAGACAAGAACTCCGCCAAGAAAGAAGCTCGCAAACATGCCTTTTATGATGTCAATCAGCTGAGCGATCACAAAGGTGCCATGTATGCTCCGACCAAGCAAGTCGTTTACGACATGAGTTCTTTTCTGCAGCAAGCTGTAGATAGGTACAAAGAACTCACAGGCCCGGAATGGCATCACCTCAAAAAGGTGACCACACCTTTTTATGATGACAAGATCGCTCGCCCCACTGACGCGGAGGCTGAACCGAAAGGGAAGCTAGCCCCCATCGCAAGCCGAGTTCTCATGAAGCTACTTTTCGCTGCTAGAATGGCTCGCTTTGATTTGCTTCGAGCTGTGCAGGGTCTGGCTAGCCGCATCACCAAATGGTCTACCGACTGTGACAAAGCACTACACCGCCTTATGTGCTACGTCGCCTCCACGCTTGATCATCGCATGTCCTGTTTTATAGGAGATGATTTGAAGGACTGCAAACTCTGGCTGTTTGCAGACTCAGATCACGCTGGAGAGCACGACAACAAAAGCACCTCAGGCGGCTTCCTCGCACTTGTAGGCCCTAATACCTATTTTCCGTTATCTGCCTTCAGTAAGAAGCAAACAAGCACGGCGCTCAGCTCTACTGAAGCTGAAGTTGTATGTGCAAACGTGTCTCTCAGGGCACTGGGACTTCCTTCATCCGCACTTTGGAGCGTACTCCTGAACGCGGGGGGAGATGCAGCCCTGAAAGCACTAAAAAGCGACGTACCTAAAGGTGATTTCAACTCTAAGACTCACCCCTTCCCAGAAATGTCGAAGATCACCAAAACTGGTAAGTATCTCCTTTCTGACGGAAGGCAGGTTGAGGTATTCAATAAGATGCAATCCCTACCTAATCCCGTTGAGCTCTCTAGCCATCCTATAAGGGATCTTTGGTTGCTCCGGAAAGGGAAATGGGAAATTCACCAGAAGGCCGTTGCATGGGAAGAAATTGATGAGGATGAAAGGACGTTGCCCCCAACCGACTTCGAAGCTGGCGTCTTGGTATACCGGAGGTCAACTGCCGAATATCGCCGCCACGCGGAGGCGGAGGCTATCCTCCATAGGGAGACCGCCGGAATTAGGAGTTCGGGGGGTGTTGATGTTGATGAGATTGGTATCTCTAGGACCAGCAAAGATATGGGTTTGATCATGTCTGTTCCTCACTCCATTCAACCAGTTGTTCTTGAAGATAACCAAGCTACCATTCGGATACTCGAGTCTGGCAAGTCACCTGCTTTCCGCCACGCTGATAAAACGCAGAGAATCAACTTAGGTTGGATAGCGGAACAATTTCGTAGGAAGCACTACGATCTTGCATACATCAACACATTGCTCCAAGCAGCGGATATATTGACAAAGCCGTTTACAAGCACTGAGAAGTGGAGCAATGCTCTACGATTGTTGGGCATCTCTCAGCGGAAGCTTGAGCGCACAAAGGCTCATCCCGCTGGCGCGGCGACTGCCGAGCAGGGAGAACCCTCCAGGCCCGAGGGGAAAGCTCAAAGGGTTATCATTGAGGTTTGTTGTAATCAAGATTCTATTATTGGGGAACTTGCTCATTCGGAATTTCCCGAATGCAAGGTCGTCCGCATCACAGAAAGCATGGATTTGAATTCTCCTGATACTCGTAAAGAAGTCCTGAAAATTGCCAAATCCTATCACAGGGCTGGCGCTCAGGTTCTCACATGGGTCAGTCTCCCGTGTACGGGGGGCAGTGCTTGGACCAGAATCAACCTGAAAATACCTAAAAACCGCGATACCGTTCTGGAAGCACGCAAGGATTTTAGGAAGTTGTGGGCTTCATTTGTGGATCTTTCGCAGGGGTTGGACCAGGTTGGTGTTCAGTACTGTGTCGAATGGCCTCGTGACTGTGAGTATTGGGGTTGGAGTAAGATCCGAAAATGGTTGGATCTTCATCCATTTGTTTATGCTAAATTTGACGGTTGTAGATTTGGACTTAAAGACAGACGTCATAATCCCGTCAAAAAGCCATGGTGCGTTGCTACTACGCTTGAAACATTACACAAGAAGATTCACGCTAAAGTTTGCACTGGTGATCACTCGCATGCGAAGTGCCTCAAAGAATCCGAGAATTACCCCAAATCGCTTGCTAGAGCCATTCACAGCGCATTCAAAGAACATTGCAAAGCTACCGCAGCGGTGGCACAAGCCCCTCATCATTCCTACGCTCCTGTGTGTCCCGCGATTCCATTGTCCGAAGGAATGGCACTTGCTCTTTCCCAGGAAGAGCGGAAGGCTCGCATCGAGGACTTCAAGCTTGCCTTGCAGGACCCCGATCGCCGGGCTGACGCCATGGCTGGACTGTTGCTCCCGCCTTCCTATCGGGACCTGGCTGACGCTGTGGTCGAGCCAGATGCCGATGCTGCGGACGATGAGTTGTTTCTTGGGATTGTTCCTGTGTATCGGTGGCGCGCATTGCGTGCAGAGCACCCCACGTCACACTGGACGATCCTGTATGAACAATACTACAGGGATCATGGGGTCCGGGTTTTTGCAGAGGGAGACGCAGACACCTCAGCTCTTCAGGACTCTACCCTGGGGGGTTGGATCGATGTGCTCTACCGATATGCACAGGACCTCGCCAATATCGCATGGGGACCACGATCCGCAGGAGTTCTGGACGCGACAAGGCATGATGACATTTGCAGAAAGGTTGAACTTCTCAGTCGTGGAGCGTCGAAGTACACGTGCTTCCATGTGACCTCTGAGCTCATGGGCAAGCTTTTCTCGCCTGCCCTACAGAGGATCCCACTCCCCTCGGAAGAGCGGTTGAGAATTTTGGTCGTTGGCGATTCATCACTCGCATTGTGCCAGTTCAAGGGGCGATCACCCACACATCGTACAAACGTGGGTATCTACGTCGAGGAGGCCCTTCGCCATGACCGCCGCTTCACCTCGATCCATTACGAGATGGTCTGGGGGGCACAGCTCGATGAGCTGCACGCCAAGGCAGATTCATTCCTTGGCCGGAACCCCCATCCTGACGGAGTGGCGACCCATGTTATCATCTCCTGGAGCGGAAACGACGTGTGGGGGTCCCACGGATATCATGGATACACGTGGCACCTCAACACGAAGTACACGAACCGGTCCAAGGAGGAGCTTGAGGCGCTGAATGAGTGGCCGACAAAGCAACGGCTTCGCGTGGAGAAGGCTGTTCGCAATCTGAGGCTGCTCCTCGCGAGGCATGATGTGTGTGGGATCACCGTTCTCACAGGAGACCATCATTCTGAAGTGTTTCCCACAGGACCTGAGTACGGTCTCTGCATGGAACAGCACGCTGACGCGATGCTTGCCCTTGGCATCAACATTGTCGATCCGATCGAAATGTATGGCCATACTAGCAAGCCTGACGACTTCCACGCTGATGCGTCGGACAGGAACAAACAGGTCATGGTCCCATGGCATTGTTCACTGCTCCGTGGTGTTTTTGTCAATCATCAGCTTATGAAGGTTCGTGATCAGTTGGTCGCCAACCAAAGGGATGTGGTGTTTCACAACCACTTTTTGATGGGGAAGGCGGAACCCTTCTTGACGGTGCCACCTGCGTCGGCGCAGCTCATCCACAAGCCGATCGAAGATCCAAACCCACCTCAGGCGAGGGAGGCTGAAGAGGAGATCGTCCTTTCTGGCCCACTCCTGGGGGAGATGGAAGAGCCGAGCATGATGCAGGTTCCCGAGGTCCCGAATGCTCAGGAAGAAATTTCTGACTTGGACTTTGCTCGCCTTGATACGAGACCTGGGGCCGGCTGCGTCGTGGAAGGTGCCGAATCCGCACTCCTCAACGTCATCACAGAGGACATCATCAAGGCCACCTTCGAGGCCGTGAAGGACGCCACCGAAGAGGAGCTCAAGCAGGCCGCCGTTGAGGCACAGGTCGTTAATCTCGACGACTTTGTGGAGGCGGAAGAGCTCCCGGCGGAAGCCAAGGGAAGGGAGACGTACGTCGCCCAACCGGGCAGGATCGAGGGAGCCGCTTCCTCGGCCGATGTCCGGCCCCCGGCTGGTCCCACGGCCGCAATGGAGGAGTCAGAGGATGAGGTCGTCATCATGGACGCCCCTCTGACGAGTGAGGCCACGATTCAGAAGCCATTTACGCCGGCTGCTAAGCCAAAGCCGCCTGCGCTTCCGAGGTGGATGACGGCCGATCAGCTCCCGCCTTTGCCAGACGACTACCGCTGGCTGACGCCGGGCGCACGCGTAGCACTCAGCAAGAAGATCAGTTTCCTGACGCGAGGCTTCGCGGAGATTCGCGCGCCGCACCTCCATGTGAAAGCGGCAGAGGATCACTCCCTTAGATGGGACGAGTTCTTCGAGAAACTATCCCAGATGTGGAGGGGGCTGAGGGTGGAAAACGTGGTAGACGCGTTGCTACACAACGACAAGCTCCGTTTCGAGATCAAGGTGAACTTTGGTCTCAACAAGCTCGTCGTCTTCCACGCCATCCGAGCCATCCAGGGGCATAATGCAACCCTCCTCTCTGACGAGACGGACCTCAATGACACGCATGCAGCGGTCTACCACTTAGCCGAATCCTGGTTTCCGACATTGAAGGATCGGCCCCCGGTGGGAACTGAGGGAATCAAATCGGAGATGTGGACGGAGATGCCGCCGCTTGGATACCACAGCACCAAATGGTCTTCTTTCGGCTCCATCGTGGAGAACGGCCTCGTTCCAGGCGGGTGCGGGGCGACCGCTGAGGGCGCACGGAATTTCCTCATGATGTCCCCTATCCCCGCGTGGGAACGCAGGGACCATCAGGGCGTGCGCGAAAACGCGGAGATTGAGTTCGTTGTGGACCTGCAACTAGCTGCTTTGGACGGGGTCAGGATTCTTCGTACGAAAGCAGATGCTGTGGAAACTCCTGATTGGTTGTCCAACAGGTATCTCATTTATGCGTACGAGCGCAAGTCGTTGACCCCAATCTGGCACAACCGCGTGTACGAACAGTTGAGAGTCAGAGTACACAAGGCCAGGAAAGATTTCCTCGCCGGGCGGGAGCCAGGGCCAATTTACGAGGAGCATGTACTCCGGAGGTGGCAGAGCAAGAGCCCCATGCCGGGATGCTACATTGACTTCCTCTGCTCGGAGGCGGAAGACCTCTCGTTCGATGAGTACAAGCACATCTGCAACAACATGCATTCCCCCTTTCAGATCGCGGAGGATGAAAATATCACCGTCAACGGGGAGGCCATCAACGCAGACGACGTTACCTTTCACACAGAGGCAAAGCCCCAATATGTGGGTAACGCTCGATGGGGCTCCCGTCTGAAGACGTGGTACTCCGCGCTGGGGCGCAGGACGGATGTGACATACCGATCGAAGCTTGAGCATTACGTAATTCAAGAGTTCGTGGATTTTCCCACTCTCAGATGCGGCTCATGCAATCGGGACTTCGTCGACGGGATGATCAATTGCCCATGGTGTTCGGTCCGTATTTCTGCCGAGAGCGATATGGCACACGTCACAGAAACCAAAAGGGCGCGCGATGAAGCCAGCCGAAGGGGAACGGGGATTGATCTCCTCGCTATCGCCCCCCGGAAGGGGTTGGCCATGAATCGACATCGCGTCCGTCAGGGTCGTGACGATGATGACATCAGTCTCCCGGCGGCAGTCAGAGGAAAGTGTTTGGCCATGAAGAAGAGTCTCGCAAAGCGGGGTGGAGGTGATCACTTGCTGGAGCTTCTCGACGAGCCCCTCGATGCGTACAACTACGTGTCAAAAGGCATTGACATCGGAAGTCTCGCCCAGCTTGAGTTGTTTACGCGCCTTCACAATCCCGCACCCGGAGGGGATGCGCGTGGTCGCAAAGAGTTTGCAGGGAGCCACAATGCTGACGCTCGCCTTAGCATCGCCTGGATGCCTGGTGACACCGAGATCGTCTTGAACCGAGCGTTTTTCATCGCGTTCTCTTCCAGGCTTTACATCCTTGACGAGGCGGCCATGCTCATCTATGCCACACAGCAGACGTACTTCGGCCAAAGGTTTCCTTTTTCGATCCTCGGTTTTGATGGCGAGATCTACACTCCGGAGCCAGCCTCGGTCACAGAGCTTGCAGCACAGTTGGCAGAATTCTTCAAAGTCCAACTTGGCTTCGCCGGGACCTACGATGATCCGGCACCCACTGAGGTAACCATGTCAGGGAATCTTCGCATCCCGGAAGGGTTTGCCTCTATGGGCCAGACGCAACTCAATGAAGTCCTGCGCGATACCCGCTTCTACGACAGACGTCTTGCCAGGACTGCCTATGATCCGGAATGGGTCAGAGCCTCGAGGGCGAGGAGTGCAGGCTACATGCGCGCACCTCCTCCTCCCGGAAGGGATGGTCCAAGGGCATCTTCATCAAGACGTTATGGAAGGGCTTCGGCGTCCCCTGCAAGACAGCACTCGGAGGGAGCCAATGACCCCACTCGTGACAGGACCCGATCATCATCGGCATATGGTGCCAATCGTGGAAGATCACCGAGGAGGACTGGTTCCTATGTAGAGCCAACCAGCAAGGCAACGCCGCCAAGACTGCGCTCCGCCACACCAAGACCTCCAGCTGCGAGACGTCAGTCGAGCCAGCAAGATCAGCCCGCTGCCTCACGCAGACGCGTTGAGCCAACCAACCCTACCGAGACGGAGGGAGAATGGCTTCGAGCGCGCCGTGAACGGGTCAATCAAATGATTGAGACCAGGCTGGATGAGCTTACGCAGCTGCTCGAGAGACCGCTTGGCATCACCTTTCCCTACGACGTCGATGGTGAGGAGATCAACGGGCGGGAGCCACGTCATCCCAGATTCAACCGCCTTGAAGCTTATTACTGGGCAATGCTTTATGCACGCGACCAGCACTATATCCAGGAAGAGGAGGTCGTGAACTGCATTCCATCCTTCGGGCAGCTCAATCGGGTGGTCGTATATGATTACGAGAACGTGATCTGGTACCTCAACGGCTGGGAGCACAAAGTCACCGACCCTTTCACAGGTGAAACCACTCGCCGTTACTGAGGAAAGACCTCCACTCGGAAGAGTTGGATGCATTTGCTGCACCAACCGTGGATCATCTTCTCAAGCTTCGCACATGGACACCACTCTGACGAGTTGGTTGCTGAGCAGTAGAAGCCGGTAACTAACCTTTCTTTAGAGTGTAGATGTTTCTCAACTCCCTGACGGGTGGTAGCTACTCACTACTGGTCAGTGGAGTATAGTTTAGGCGAACATTCTTTTGTGTGTTCTTCCAGTTAACGGAAAAGAACGCCTCTACCGTTGCACTAAGTTGCGCGGGGGGTGTAGTTACTGGAAGACACAAGCTGTATTCACCCGTTCGCCGTGGCTCAAGAAAATGATTGTTCAGGGCTATCCGCTGGTAACAATAACCCTAAACCCTATATCAACCCTAAACCCTAAACCCTAAACCCTAAACCCTAAACCCTAAACCCTAAACCCTAAACCCTAAACCCTAAACCCTAAACCCTAAACCCCTAAACCCCTAAACCCCTAAACCCCTAAACCCCTAAACCCTAAGTCTTGAATCCCAGGAGCTGTTCTTGCAAAAGTTGCACCTGGGTTTCGAGAGCGCCGAGATCCTGGATCTCTGGGCCGGCACCCCAGGATTCAGGATTCTTAGGGTTTAGGGTTTAGGGTTTAGGGTTTAGGGTTTAGGGTTTGGGGTGTAGGGTTTAGGGTTTAGGGTTTAGGGTATAGGGTGATCTCTGGGCCGGATTCAGGATTCGGCGCGCATCTGGGGTTCAGCTCCCAGCGGGTTTAGCGTTTAGGGTTCAGGGTTCAGGGTTTAGGTTTAGGGTTTAGGGTTTAGGGCTTAGGGTTTAAGGTTCAGGGTTTAGGGTTTACGGTTTAGGGCTTGGGGTCCCTAAATTCAAGTCTTAGGGTTGGGGGTTTCAGGGGTTTGTAGGGAATTTGCGACCTCAGGGTCTTCGGTTCTTTTGCCCTGAGCCCTGTTGTATTGGAACAAGTTGAGGGTCCCGTTTGTTTAGGGTTTAGGGTTTAGGGTTTAGGGTTTAGGGTTTAGGGCTTAGGGTTTAGGGCTTAGGGTTTAGGGTTTAGGGCTTAGGGCTTAGGGCTTAGGGCTTAGGGTTTAGGGTTTAGGGTTTAGGGTTTAGGGTTTAGGGTTTAGGGTTTAGGGTTAGGGATCTCAACAGGCCAAAGCTCGTCGATTCTTCTTCTGACAGTTTAGTGTTCAGGGTTTAGGGCAACTGGCCTGAACCCCACACCCACCCACCTGCCCGCCCGCCCACCTGCACGCACGCACGCACGCACGCACGCACGCACGCCCGCACGCCCGCACGCACGCACGCACGCACGCAAGCGCGCTCACACACACACAGAGACACACACACACACACACACAGAGACACACACACACACAGAGACACACACACACAGAGACACCCCCACACGCACACAGACACCCCCACACGCACACACACACACAACTGTTCCACACAACACACACACCATACCCGCACTCTACTCACTCCACTCACGCAAACGCCTCCGCACAGCAACTCACTCTTTAAAATCCAACATGAAACTATCAAAAAACCCATCTACATCACGCACAGCCGCACGATCTGGAAACGCTAATACACACCACACCACACACACTCACTGCACACACACACACACACACACACACACACACACACACACCCACACACCACACACACACACACAGTAGACACACACACACACACACACACACACACACAGCACACACACACCACACACCCACACACACACACACACAAGACACACACAACACAACACACAACACACACACCCACACACAATACACAAACACACACAAACAAGATCCAACACACAAACACAAACACAACCACAAACACACAGACACACAACACACAGACACCACAGACACACATAACACACACATACACACACACAGACACACAGAGACACACATCACACAGCACCACCACACACACACACACAGACACACATCAGAGAGACACATAACACACAGACACACAGACACACACACTACACACATACACACAGATCACAGACAACACACAGACACACATAAACATACACACATACAGACAGACACATCAGACACACCAGACACACCTACACACAGACCCAACAGACACACATACACACATACACACATACACACACACACACACACACATACACACACTACACACACACACCACGCAGCAACAACAATACACACCACATACACACACACCACACACTATACACACAAACACACACACCACATAACCAACACACACACACACACATACACACACACACACACAAGCACACACATACGACACACACAACACATACACAACACACAACACACACATACACACACACACACACACACACACCCCTATACACACACACACAGATACCCACATAGAGAGGACACCACATACATTGACATAGACACATATCACCGACTATTGACACATAACACATATACACATACACATATACACACATATACACACATATCCCCACGATACACACAAGAGAACATCATATAACAACCCAGATACCCCATAACCCAGATACACACATATCACACATAGAACACATAGACACACAGACCACAGATACCACAATCAGTCGTACATAGTGTGGTATGACACACATAGACACACATAACCCACAAGACACACAGATACACACAGATACCCAAGATTATTGGTATATAATTGTTACATGGTACACCAGATACCCACAGAGACCCAGTACACACAGAGACACACAGATCCCACAGATACCCACAGAGACACACCTAGACCCACACAGAGACACAACGAGACACACAGGACACACATAGACACACAATACACACAGAGACACACAATGACACACATAGCCACACAGAGACACACAGAGAACACATATACACACAGATAACACACAGAGGACCACACATAAAAAAAGGGCAGATACACACATCTACACCATAACACCACATAACACACATAGAACACCCATGATAACACACACACGGAGCCACACACACCTTACACCCCGTACACCACACACACACACACACACCACACACACACTCATACACACACGCATACATACCCCTTACGTAATAACACCCCAACACACACACACTCATACACACACCCACCCAGATACCACACCACACTACACAGATAACACCCCATAAACACACATACACACACACACAACACACATAGACCACACAAACACCCACTTACACACACACACACACATAGACACACACACACCAGAACACACACACACACACCACACACACCTAACAACACACCCACAACACACACACACACTGAGCACACATTACATTCCATAACATACATACCTACATACATACAACATTTGCATTATATGAATAAACAACATAACTACATACATACCATACAACTAGAATTTCAATACAGATACCAACACAATAGTAAATATTACATACATACCCTACATAACAACATACATACCTACATACCCTCAGACTATCTATACATACATACATACAGTACTCATACAACAGACAGAACAGAACAGACATGACATACAGACATCAACATACACACACACACACACAACACAAAGTACACACAATATCTACAGCATACCCACACACACCACATATACATTACAACACTACACACATACACACACACCACCCACACAGACACACCACAATCACACACACACACCCCCACACATAACACCACCCCACACACCACACCAACACCCACCTCACTGCGCACGACACTCACACTCTCCTACCAAAACCACACACTAACACTCTCACACACTCACACAAAATACCAAAAACTCACACACCAACACACGTCCCACACTCCACACTCACACACTCCACACCCTCACACACTCACACACCACAAACACTTCACACTGAAACTCACCTACTACACAACACTCACACTACTCACACACTCACACACTCACCCATACCACACAACTCACAACACGCACACACTCACTACACTCACCACTCACACCAATAACGACCCACTTACTACTCCACACTCACACACTCACACACTCACCACGCACACACACTCACAACCTCACACCCTCACAACACCTCACACACTTCACACCCTCACACTCTCACGACATCTCACCTAACATCTCACTTACTCGCACACTCGCACACTCGCACACGACTCGCACACTCACTACACACTCACACAGACACTCACACTACACTTCACCACATCACTCGACGACACACTCAACCACACCTCACTCACGTCTCTCACCTCCTATAACACTCCTCAAACACGCACTCACACCACTCACACTCCTCAACACCTCCACCGCTCGACGAACAACACTCACTCTCACACACACACCACACACACATACACACACATAAATCTTATGCCATAAACACACACATACACACACACACACACACACACACACACACACACAACACACACACACATCACCCACTCACCTGTCACTTACTCCCAGCATCACACACACTCACTCCCACACACACTCATCCAACACTACTACCTTCTCACTTGAGACACTCACCCACACAACACACCCACCACCACACCCACACACCACACCACCCACACACAAACACGATCCGACACAACTATTAATACTACACACACAACCCACACACACCACACACACCCCACACACACACACACACACACACACAACACACACAACACACACTCACTAACAAAACAACACCACATAACACTCAAATTAATCTTATATACATTGCTAAGACTATTAATAAAATTATTCTACCACACACACCAACACACACATATACACAACATATACACCACATATTACCCCATATTACACACATAAATACACACATAATACAACACATATACACACAGATATACACCTCTTCACACATAGAGACACCACACAGATACACCACATAATACCACAACATATATACACACAGATACCCACACTACCCACACTAGACACGATTACACATC